TGTAGGTTTCTTAATCGTTGCACCACCGAGCTAATGAATAAATGAATTAAATAATAATTTTAAATTATCTGAATTCAAATCTGAATGTGTTAATACGTCATTCTAGGAAGATGACGCAACGAACTACAGCATAGCATAGATCCTAAAAGCCGTTTTGCCCATTAGTTCGATTCATTGTAAGTTGTTGTAAGCAGTACCTCAATATCGCCCTATAACACGTGCATTTCTTCGTTTGCTACGTCAAATTAAATTTAAATTAATTAAATTAAGCATGAGTAGATTTGTTAGGAAGTAATTGAAGGAATTAATTTGTAGGAATAATATTGTATAAAAAATTTTATATTGCAGAGTTTTATTATTTCAGTCATTCACTGATTTGGATTGTTTTGTTAAATTAAACTTTAAAAGTTTAAACTTTAAAAACTAAAAATTAGGAAAAATGTCGGCTCAGGCCGTTTATAAACTTCATCATGTCGAATTCTTCGATTTTACTCCGAAACCAATCAATTGTATGGCTTTTGATTGTAAGACAAAAAGATTGGCCGTTTCCAGGTTGGGTGCTGGGGTTGTCCTTTTTATTTTTATATTTAAATAAAATAATTAATTTTCATTATAAATAATAAACTTCAATTCAATTGAAAATTATTTATAATGAAAAATTTACGTTCTCAAAAGACAAAATTTTGAATCATGAGTTTGAAAAAAAAATATTTGCTGAATAAAAATTTAAAAAGGTTTGATGCGGAATCTTCATACATTGAAATATGGAATTCTAATGAAAACTGGCTTCTAGAGCGGGTAAATAAACCATTTCAAGTATCTCCTATTGTCATTTAAATTCTAAATTAAATTATATATACTTGATTATTTATTAATTAATTAAATACTGAATTAATGATTAATCAACAACTCATTCATATTAATTATTAATAATTATAATATTCACATGTGATTAGATTCTGCCTCCGACATCACTGATCGAGTGCATGGTCTGGTACAAGAACAGACTGCTCATTGGGGGGTTGAATGGGTCGCTGGTGCACGTCGACCTCAAAACCTCATCAATGAAGGTCGCTTTCTGTCATTTTTGCTTGTCATCTTGTTAATTGCTTTGTTGTCTTTGTTTAGCTGACAAGTTGTTAATGATACGAAGGAATAAGAATTTTCTCGTTATAAATGCCATTGTTTTATGATGCTGACCTGATTCAGTTCAGTATTGGCGACACTTGGTTGTTTGTTTACTTGTCATAATTATTGAAATTAGTCATCTTTATCATCGTAGTAAGGTGGTGTGATTGTATCTATTGTGGACAATGTGTGAAATATAATACATGGATTCATGTGCTGTATGTGTGTGTGCGTGTGTGTGTGTGTGTTGATGATTGAACAGAAGATTAATGTAGAAAAATATAATCATTATTACTGCCTCGTCATCAGCAATGAATGTTCAATCCTTCAGGAGCCACAATCATCCAACCATGGAGCGATATGGTGCATGGCCGTCAATCCCAACGAGAAACTTATTGCAGTATGTCTATGCTGATGTTGTTGCTCTCATCATTATCATTACCTTCACATCATCTCATCATCATTATCTCCACATTATTATGATGATGATCAAAACCGTTACATCATCATCATCATCACTACCAATGCCAGGCAGGAACAGAGGGTGGATGTGTCGTGTTGTTTGAGGCCATCGAAGATGATGTCGTCTACAAAAAGGCTATCGTCAGACAAGAAGGTCGGGTGATGATGATGACGGTGATGATTGTGATGTTTATGGTGGTTGTGACTCATCATAACCATCATCATCGTCGTGATCATCATCTTCATCATCGTCATTACAATTACATTCAGGTCGCATCCTTTCAATATGCTGGCACCTGGAGTTGAACGTCCTGCTGACAGGAAGTAGTGATGTGCGTGTCTACAATGCGGAGACGGGCTCGTTGCTACAGCGCATCTCCGTGGCCAGTTCGAGTAATATTCTCGTCTGGGCTCTCGCTGTTACCAAGTTTGTTTTTGTGTCGTTGTTATGCTTCTGTCTTTAGTAGTTTTTTGTTTGTATTGTTTATTTTTTTTGTCCGCATGCTGTGTTGTCGGCGTTATATTATTATTATTATTATTATTTTGGTTTTTTTTTCATTGTTTGTTGTTTTTGTTGTTTAGAAAGCGTTTGAATTAAATTCAGCATTTTTTTATAATTCATCATCGTTGTTTAATCGGTTAATTAATTGGTTAATTAATTGGTAAATTAATTGGTTAATTAATTGGCTAATTAATGAACAAACAAACAACACAGGGATTTTACGATAATAAGTGGTGACTCGTCTGGTCAGACTGCATTCTGGTATGGCTTGCCTTGTAAACTCTCGCATAGTAAGGTTAGTCAGCTTTGTTATTTCTTTTTAGTTGATCAGTTGATTGACTATTCAATTAATTAATTGACTGATTGATTAAATGATTGATTGATTGGTTCTGTAATTGAATGACTGATTAGTTGATTTTATAATTGAATGATTGCGATTGGTTGATTGGCTAATTCTAATTATTCGGTAGATTTATTGATTAGTTGATTAATAAATTAAATAACTTATTGTGTAACTGATTGATTGATTGACTAATTATTTGATTGACTTATTGATTAATTGATTAATTAAATGATTGATTGATTTATTGATAAAATTATTGGTTGATTAAATTATTGATTGATTGATTGATTGATTGATTAATTGATTGATTAATTGATTGATTGATTGATTAAATTATTGATTGATTGATTGTTTCATCGCCGACTTCAATCAGAGGTTCAGGAGCCATGAAGCCAACATTCATTCCATTGTCATCAATGCCCC